GAAAGGACTTGTATCGCTGAAGTTTCATCGGAAAGAAATTATACGGGAAATTATCAAACGAACAGAGACGTAACAACACTATACCATTATCTGGAGACGAATGGTTAAAGAAGTTATATCTCTACAGAATTCATGAATAATAAAGTATTTCCGAAAAGAGGAAAATAAAAGTAAACATCAGAGTTTTTAAATAGGTGAATAAGTGTAATACCGAGGTAGTTTTGTTTGTTTTTAAAGCAAAGCCACAATAAGCTGTCTACAGCATCCACCGCTGGAAATCAAACCCCGGATTTTAGCGTTCTAAGGCCGTGAACTTACCGCTGTACCATCAAGGGACAAAACAAAGTTAACAATAAAATGAATCTCAAAATAGTACAGCTTCTTTTAAAACTTTTGCCCAGCACGTTCTGGTGGTTAGGGTGCTCGACTCGCAATCTACGGTTAACATATCGAAACCCATCAACGAACATGCTCGCCCTCCAGGCGTTGGGGCGCTATAATGGGACAGCAAATCTCACTGTTCGTTAGAGTAGCCAAAAGTTGATGATTGGTGTTGTTGAATAGATTAATTTTCTCTAGTCCACCATTTCTAAATTTGGGAGGCTAACGCAGATAGCACTTGAGCAGATTTGCGCGAAATTCAACAAACAAACATAACATGCAATAATCTAAGGGAGCGTTTTCCAAATTGTGGGAAAACAAAATGCTGATTCTGCTGGTATCATTTGCGAAAATTATTTTAAAGTGGAAGGGGAGGTGCAACGGAAACTTTGATGAGTTAGAGGGCGCTGCTATATAAAGTTTGAAAAAACATTGATCTAAAGTGTAATTCTTGTAAAAAACTTTTATATGATACCCTGACTGAATTCAACAACGTGACTCAGCACTTTTTTTGTCGCTTGAAGTCACTGAAAAACGTAGGATACAAAAGCCCACCTTAAAGTACTTTCTTTGCTCATTCTTTGGAGGGACAATTGGCTGTAAAGATACTTTAAGTTTCTGTACTATCTTGACCGGTTGGTTTGACCGAAAAATGGGAGACGTAAGAAATCCTAAAGTGCAATTTACAAAAGTAGGTTTAATACAGTTGTATTTAATTTTGTGTTCGTTAGGTTGTCATTTAGAATTTAAATATTTTATAGCCATATGTTTACTTTTATCGTATTTTATATATTTGGTGAGTGTGTAAATTAAACTTTAGAGGTCAGATAACCTAAACTAAGATACTATTATGGCAACAGAATCGATCGGTATATATTTTTAAACCGATCGGTTTCTCTTTTTAAAAATTTTTTATAAAACCGAATGAAAATATTTAAAGTTGCAAGATCAGAGAGCTATACAATGTTAAACTGTGAAAATAAAAGTGAAATTTCCACAGCATTTTTGTGTGTTACACTTCAATTGAGTGGTATTATGAAATAATTAAATAGTTAAATTAATTTAATATTTTATATAATGTAATTGCTTTATAGAAAATCGTAACCGAAACTGGGATTTGGTTGCTAAAAACCGAACCAAATGCATAATCATATTCATTGTGAAAATAAATGTATCTAGGTCCCTAATATGGCAGCGGTAAGTCTACAGATTTACAACGCAAAAACGCGGGTTTCGATGCCTCGCAGTAGACACAACAGATAGCCCTCTGTGGCTTTGCTCTTAAACAAACGCACTGATACACAAAAACCTTGATAAAAGTAAATAACTGCCTGTTCATAGGTGTGTTTATTAAAGCTGAGTGAGGGCTGTCGGCTCTTCTTACATTTTCGTGTAACCTACAAAAATATTGGGAGAGATATGTACTGATGCCGATGGTGCAGACAATTTACCGCATTGACTGGTGCTACAACTGATTTACTAGTTTGTTCTATGCTTAGAAATTATTTTTCAGTGTATAATAAGGCACTATACATAATCATTTTTAATCAAATTATATATGTTTTAACTGTGAATTAAATATCATAATTATTAAATCTATTTTAAAAATCTCTGTAATTTTTAATTTTCACCCTTAATGATACGCTAAGATAAGTTTTTATCGCTTGGTCTCACCCCAGTATTACGTAAT